CTACTTAGTAGATTGGAATGAGATGAGTTGGATTCCGATCACGAGGTCTTGCCCTCTTTTATATAGGCATTGGTGGTAGGGTTACAATGAGGGCGATTGGGCTAACAGATTGGATTCCTAGTTTGTTACATGGAATGCACAATAGATAGATCCTAACTACCGTCTAGATACGCCTATCTTGGATGTTCTTGGCTTGCCTTGGTCTTCACGTTGATCAACCACCTCGACCCTCGCGGTCCTCCTCCTTGATGGCTCCTGGGCTATAGCTTGGATATAGTTTAGCTCTTCTCCTCCTCCTCCTCCTTCTCCTCCTTCTCCTTCTCCTTCTCCTCCTTCTCCTTCTCCTCCTCCTCCTTCTCCTTCTTCTTCTCCTCCACCTCCTCCACGATGGTTGGTGAATGCTTTGGTGAGTCAAAGTGTGCTTAATATATGGCCTATATATGTCCATCCTGCCTCCATGCTGACATGTTGGAATATGTAAATTTCCATGTCAAATGTTGTATGCCATAATATTTCTTGTAGGAAATTGCATGTGTATAGTCCTAAATGATTATGTAATGGGAATGGGATGCATCCAGAGCGCCCCATTGGTGCATGCATGCATCCGGAGGTATATAGTCAATGGAGCATGCATCCATAACTAACTCAGCCTCCCTTGTCAGTGCATGCATCTAGAGCACCCATCAAGCAAAGATAGGGAGCCACCGGATAGTCCGCTAGAGCTACTGGACCGTCCGACAGATTGCAGAACAATGAAGGTAAGTGGAAAATGAGCTGTTTTTCATTTGCATTGCTTGGACCCACTTGTCAGCATGAGTTCGAACCCTTCATCGGCTGAAGCCACTCCACTTCACCCCCACTCTCACTCACTCATTCATTTGCTTCACACCCCTCTATCTCTCTCTACACTCAAGAATAAGGATGAACCCAAGAACTAGAGAGAGAAAGGATTGGAGAATGGATTGGAGAAGGAATAGGATAAGAAGAAGAGAAGCACCAGCATCATCTCATGGACTTCTTCAACATCTTCAACTTCATCTACGGTTAGCTCAAGAGAAGTATCTCTCATTTTTTAGATTTTTCTCCAAAGACCTAATTTGTGGTTTTTGGTGCAAGATTGAAGATTTCTTGCTGGTGGTGGTTCTATCATATGTAGAGTAAGTTCAAGAGATCTTCACCTAGCTCAATCACCCATGCATCCCTTGGATTTCTTTTAATTCTTCTTCTTGGACCCTAACTGAACCAAACCTGAACCCTTGAGTCCAATCCAGTGGAGTCTCCGCCACATACAGGGGAGAGTCCATCATGATGACAGAGGATGTCATGTTGATTAGAAGCTTACCCAAGAGGTCAACAATACTAATACTAACTAGGTAATAAATAGTTCAATAGTAGAGCCAAGTTTGGATGCCTCTTCCCATGTCCCAAATCAAAGTCTCAATCTTTATCTCCATCTCCCTATCAATTATCTCCAATTCCGTTTATCATCTCTCTTAGGACTCTTTATGGACATGAGGAATGTGTATAAGTCATCCTTGTCAGCTTCGATTATTTGAACGGCATGACCAGGCAGGCACCCCACTATTAGGAACCCTATTTATTTCATTATGAGTTTGCATTTCATGATTAAGAACCAATCCTAACTTGAATTATAATCTTGATGATCAATCGAAAATCTCTATTCATGCGACGGGTATGGTCACGGTGGGTGTTTGATCCCAGGTGATGTAACTCGTGGAGTAATTAAGGACTGTTCATTGGGATAGTGAGTCCGAGTAACCACAAGTACATACCACATGTCGCAAATGGGGGCGACAAGCCAAGTAACTAATTGCGACTTGCCTATCCGTGAAACTGACACGAGGGTGGCGTCGGGTAGATGATGGTAGCATTACCCGGGAACTTATCAATGCTTTTGTGAATATTCGTCCTAGATTAGGGAAAGGTTAGAGACGTGAGGCAACCCTTACCCTTGCGGATGGGTATGGTGGTTAGTCTTGTTCTTCTGTGTGGGTACAGTTGTACACCTCTATATTTCACTTGAAAGCCTAAAGTCCCTCGAGACGGAACCTTCGGTAGTTCTTACTTCTATACCCATTGTAGAGATAATGTGGAATTAATGATGAGTTGGATTATATTGTAATCACTTAAACTTTATGGATTTATTATTACCATGCATAGAGTTACCGTGACTAGATAAATTAAATCCAATTCATGAGAATGTCATTCTTTAATAAACGCCATCGCTTTTCTGCAAATATACAAATGTCTGATAAATCCTTGCATCCACCAAATATTCTATGTTGGAATTAAGTCCTGCGAGTATGCAATGTACTCACGGTGCTGCCGTTAAGTTGTTTTGCTGGTATCTTCGATTTGGTTGACCTGAGCCAAGCTCACTCCGCCGATGATTAGTAGACCTTGGAATGGGCGATTCCAAGATGAGCTGTATGTTAACCCTGATAATTACTTTGAGTGAGATTAAAATGGAGATGAACCATACAAGGTTAATTAAGAAACATTTGTGTACCATTATCCCGTTGTTATTTGTTATCAAGTAAAGTTGATTAGTTAACTCAAATTCCCTAGTGTGATGGCATAATATTCGTGTTACAAGTTGGTATGCCATTTGGATGGTTTTGTGGAACTCGACCGTTAAAAAGATCTTGAAGAGGAGATGTAGATAACATTCTCCTGAGGGGCCTCATGTCGGTTGGGATTGGCGCGGGTTGGTCAAGGGGGTGACACTTGTGTTAGTCTGATAGGTGCGGGATCACCTCCCTCATAGCTAGCATCTCTTGCACATGTTCTACTATGACCATGGTTGCTAGAAGCATACCTTTCATACTCAGTTGAGATTTGGTACTCTTTGGCTATTTTAGTGATGGCCCTATTCACTTTGGTGTAGCTGATAGAAGTTTGTTTAGGATCCTTCCCCAAGCATGGGCACTAAGTCCCAAGGGTGCCAAGCACTAGCCAAGGCCGACCACTACTTCCTTTTATAGCCCCAAGAGCTAAACTAGTTGTTTGGCAAAAACTGCTCAATCTACGTGTAGTGTCGGACCGTCCTACGCATAGCGTCGGACCATTTCGTTAGGGTCTGATGGTCTTAGATCACGCCACATGTACTAGCCGTTTGATGGCGACCGTTGGTGTCCAATGGCTAAATCGCATGCCCCCTCTATGCGTACGGTCCGACACCCGTCAGATCATCCACGCGTACGGTTCGACGTCCAACAGAGAGCATGTAGAGAGCTCCAGACCAGTCGGACCAAGTCCTAGCAAAGCTTCAGACCATTAAATGTATTATCCGACGCTCAACAGAACGTGTCCAGAAAGGTCCAGACCGGTCTGAACGGGTCCTACACATAGCGTCAGACCATTACGCGTAGGGTCTGACGCTCCTCTGTCAATGCATGGCGTCAGACCTACCTACGTGTAGCGTCGGACCATCTACGCGTGGGGTTAGACGCCTACAGAAAACACCTCCTTGCTTCTTTCTTCCTACCCTTTGCAAATATGCCAACACTACCAAGTGTAACACCACCTTATGCACATGTGTTAGCTTTTCACAAACATTTTTCAAAGCATTTTCACGTGCTTTTTCCACGCCACTCGATCCTAGCATTGCATGCAAAGTTAGATGACTTAAGTGGCACTAGATGACCAATATGCAAACAAGTTTACCCCTCCTGATCATACGACCATCTATCCTAAACCTGGTCATGCACTTCTTTACACAACCTTTGACTAGTGAAATGAAATGTCCTACAAGATATACCTTTGCCTTGCGCATTCCATTTCCTCCAATGTTGATGCCACACAAGCACTAACCTCCATAAACAAATGATATGATCCAATTCATATCATCATGTGACCTTTGGTTCATCGATCTCAACATCATTTGCTCTTCACTATTGCCCTTCCATCGGTGCCAAGTCCTTGCTCAAGCTTGTCCATCAGGTGCAGTGCGTCGCTCCAAAGCCTCCAACTAGTCCTTCACACTTGCAACTGGTCCATCAAGCCAAGCCTTGTCTTGATCTTCTTCACCTAGCCACATGACTCCATGTCATGTATTACATGCAATAAGCTCCTTCATCACATGTGTGAGCATTTCAACATATCCAAGCCATTTCTACCTCTATGGCATAGGTTGCTCACACTAGTGTATCTGTGGACTAATCACCTATGTATCTCGATATAAACACATATTAGTTGACCTAGGTTATCACTCAATTACCAAAACCAAACAAGGACCTTTTAGCACCTCAATTTTGTTTCGTCCCTTCCAGATCTGGTGGACAGCGTCGGCGGCACCAGTGGGGCAGGTACAGCTCTCCCCATCTCCCTCCCTCTCTCTCTCTCCACCTCTTCATCTCGATCCCTCACTCTTCCCACATCGGTGGCGGCGAGCGTAGGGAGGCCACACCCGGCAACAGCAATGTCGCCGGGGGCGGATCTGGCTACGGCGTGCCGAGATCTCTGGTGGGCGTGCTGGCGAGCTTTTTTTATTTTTCTGAAATCATTTACGTAGACGGACAAAAATGCCCGCCTCGGTTAACCCCATTTATGCTGACAGGCTTTTTTGCCACCTGACGATTTGAACGAGGCGGACATATGCCCGCCTAGGAAAACCTATTTTGACCGCCTGGGAAAAGAATTGTGTATATAGTAGTGTTGCTCAGCATGATAGCCAGATGCAATAATACTTTCTCATACCCTATCAGGAACCTCCAGCTACTACAATCTGTCCAACACAAGAAACTTCATCTTTCAAATCGTGCGCCATAAACAAATTAAAATTAATCACCTTCACGCAATCGTGCATTTCTCATTTCATTTTTTTTTTAAACATGACAGCTCGATCGGACCGACCTCCTATAAGATGCCACCTGATCACTCATCAGGTTCATCGTCACAGCCAGCCAGCTTCCGCTTCTCACCTCACGCGCGCTAGCTGCACACCCAAGCCAAGCATCACACCGCCGGCAGCGGCAGGCATGGAGAAGAAGCGGGTGGTCATCGTCGGAGCAGGCGTCAGCGGCCTCACGGTGTGCAAGCACCTCCTGGAGCTCGGCTGCCAGCCGACCGTCTTCGAGGCCGACACCATGCTCGGTGGTGTGTGGGCGCGCGCCATGGCCAGCACCAAGCTCCAGACGCCGCGGTCCATGTACCAGTACTCCGACTTCCCGTGGCCGGAGAGCGTGACGGAGGAGTTCCCGAGCCACCGCCAGGTGGCGGCGTACCTCGACGCGTACGCGCGCCACTTCGGCGTGCTCAGCTGCGTCCGCTTCGGCCACCGGGTGGCCGGCATGGAGTACCACGGCGTCGGCGAGCAGGCCATGGCCGCGTGGGAGGAGTGGGCTGGGAACGGCCAGGCGTTCGGCTCCGGCGCCGGCGAGTGGCAGCTGTCGGTGGCCGACGCCGACGGCCACGTGGAGGTGAGCTAGCATGCATTCGTGTTGTGCCCGAGATACAAATGACGCAGCTCCGTACTCTTTTTTTTTCGCTAAAATATACGTACATGCGGTACACTATCAATAAAAAAATTGACATGGTCAAAACTCAAAAGGATGAACCGAGCTAGATAACAAAAAAAGCAACATAACTATATTTTACTCACATTTATATTTTGAAGGAAAAGTATTTCTATAAATAATACAGATATGATATTATTACTGAAAAGAATTCAAATATATGTCCATATCCATATTTGGAAAATTATTTTTTCATGTATGTGTGACAGCAATATTCGTATCGAATGGTTGTTGCGTGAGCATATCTATATCCGTTCAGCTATGGACATGGACATGGACATGGATATAAGTAAATATATATGGACTAGATATATACCCGTGTGTTGCACTGGAGTCACAATTTTTTAAACTGAATCTCAGTAGTCTCACGCGGACGCATGAGCTCCGAGGACTTCGTATCAGACACGGACACGTGGATATAGTATTCGTATTATAACCGGGTAGGACACGGACGTGTGAGCTCTGAGTACTGAGTACAATATGATATGTATCGGACTCCGACACGTGAAGGTGATCAAGGTTTGGTATCACCGGGTAGATGATGACATTAGAGTCTTTTAGCTGTAAAGATAGAGACATGGACATATATACCTGAACAGATCTAGATTTATATACGTACGTAACCCAACAAATTCATATCTTCTTAGCATAACTCAACAGTTGTGGACACTTTTGATACCAAAACTAAAGTTCAGTCCTAAACCATCTAAATGGGTGGACTATTTTTTAGTCCCTAACTAACAACAACTAGTTCACTAACATGGGCGGATCCAGTGGTGGGGCAGGCGGGGCTCAAGCTCTCCCACCCAACGGCGCCACCTCCGCCCTCCTTCTGCTTCCGTGACAATGGAGTATCGCCTTTAGTCTCTCGTAATTTATATATAGACATAGAAAATAGAAATAATGAGCACTAGAGCTTGAAGATGAACTTTAGCCGCCTCTTCTATGAATTTCTAGGTCCACCACAAATCACTAGTAGTAGCTAATAATCCATGTATGCAAATAGGACTAAACTTTAGAGGAGTTAGACTAATACCTAGTTCTAGGTGATCCAAAGAGGACCTCGCAATTGCGTGAACTCAGCTTGGCTGGTAAAATCTAGTCTAGTGCTTTATTTTACTCCATACAACCCATGCTCTAGTTTGTGGCAACCCAAACAGACCATAATATAAATATGCACCTAGGAATTAAAAAAATAACTTGAGCCTACAAACAAACAACAACAGAGTATGCATGTTTACATACAGAGTACCGTTGTCTAATCCAGAAATTGGTTTTTACCTTTATGCAGACACACAAAGCAGACTTTGTCGTTCTGTGCATAGGGATGTTCAGTGGTGTGCCCGACATACCCACATTCCCAGCAGGTAAAGGTCCAGAAGTATTTGATGGGCAGGTGATCCACTCCATGGATTATGCCAAAATGGGCACAAGTAAAGCTAAGGAGATGATCAGGGGCAAGCGTGTGACTGTCGTTGGCTACATGAAATCTGCACTTGATATTGCCACTGAATGTGCCGAAGTAAATGGTACGGCGCAGATATATAGTCCTCTTCATCACTCCCTCTGGAAGTCTAATATTATCTATTTGACAATCTAAATTGATATTTGTATATATCTTATAGCATTTTGAACAGTTGTTAGAACTAAAACTTCAGAGTTACAGTATTTAAAAATGTTCTGTACACATCCACTTAACGTTGGTTTGTGCTGTAGGCACTGCTCACCCATGTACAATGGTGGTCCGGACAAAGCACTGGATCGTACCGGACTACTCCGTCTGGGGCATCAATGGCAAAAACTTCACTCTCAACCGTTTCTCTGAACTCCTCATCCACAAGCCTGGCGAGGGCTTCCTCCTGTCGATCTTGGCCACTCTCCTGACTCCCTTGGTAACTATATAAACTAATGTCTAACGCATTCAGTTATTGGTAGTACTCTATTCGTCTCAAAAGAATGCAATTCTAGAACAGTATCATATTTTAGTATACCAAGTTTGGCTAATTATAGATAAAAACATATAAATATTTATAATATCAAATAAATATCATTACATTAATTACGAAATATATTTTTATAATAAATTGATTTGGAGTCATAAATGTGAATACTATTTACTGAAAACTTGGTTAAACGTGAAGCACTTTAACTGACACGCATATCGTAGCTGCGTTCTTTTAGGGACATAGGGACTTCTGTAATCGTTAATTAACAACTGATAAACTGTTACAATCCTTCACTACTGAATAGCAATTATGCAAGAGTAACTGCAAATTGGGAAGGATTAGAGAGAGTTGGACTAGGTACAGCAAGGAATCAGGGGTAGAGATAGCAAGAACAGCGAGGAAGCTGAGTCCTAGACGGAGGTAGACGACGACTTCGTATTATCTTCCCTCCCTGTGCAGTTTGCTTGAGCAGGCCCAAAGTCCACCCCACATGTCCAGTGCTCGACCCAATAGCCCATGTCGATGGCCCACTTATGTGACAGTAGAGTACCTTACCTGACATAAACATATATCTATACTCTATACCTAATAATAAAGAGGCAAAATTTCAACCACTAATAAATTTTCGTCCAACTCTGATCTCTATTCGGACTCTATTTTTTATGTCTGGACGTTTCTTTCCTCGTTTGTTTTCGAAGTCGTGTTCAGTACGGAAGAAGAAAAAGAAGGGGTTGAGGGAGGAATGTGAAAGAACTAATAAATTTCCGTTCAACTCTGATATCTATTCGGATTCTATTTTTTTTATGTCTGGTCATTTCTTTCCTCGTTTCTTTTCGAAGTCGCGTTCAGTACGGGAAGAAGAAGAAGAAGAAGAAGAAGGGTTGAGGGAGGAATGTGAAAGAAATAACGTGGTTCCAGATGCAAAGATACTAGAGACAAAGAAATAATAGAACGGCTTAAGCGATTTTAGAAACAAATTTAGGGTTCTTGATGCAAAAAATCCTTTTATTTTTTCTTTTATTTGCTTGGGCCTACTGTGGTGGGGCCTCGGATTCGGCCTCAGGCTGCGCTGTGGGCTAGGCGGAAGACCATGGCTCAGCCGCACATAAGCCCTTTTCCTTTCTTTTCTGTTGCCTTTTCTTTTAAACCAGTTTAGAATTCTAAAAATCATAAAAAATCATGGAAAAATCACAAAAATACCGGCCTCACGGTAGGCCTTTTCCTTTCTTTTCTGTTTTCTTTTCTTTTGAACCAGTTGAGAATTTTAAAAATCATATAAAAATTACAAAAATATGAAACCGGTTTTGTTACACTCCCTTAAAAAGCTTTGACTAGGGCTACACAGTAAACATATAATATAATATTCTTTAGTATAAAGATTTCGATGTATCTATAGATCTATGCTTTTATGTAATTAATTTGCTGAAATTTTTATCTATATCTATATCTACTCTCATCGTCTCCAAATATTTATGTGTTCTAGATCTACCTATACCTGACATATTATTAATTAAAGAGCCAAAATTTTAGCCCTTTTTTGGTTCGCTTCCCCTAACTACCTGATAGTGTAGTTTCTTTCGTCCAGACTTATATAGCCTGTGCTCATGCGAATTAGAACAGCTCACGTCTAGCGCGATACGGAGTCCGATTCCAAGATGTACTGGGTTGTGTATATAATCCGGACTCATGAGCTGTGCTTATATAAGTTAGAACAACTCACGTTTAAAGATGATTAAGTTGAGTGTGAGCCAATGGCGGTAGCTTAACTTGGTCCGGGTAATTGGAGGGTCGCCAGAGGCCAGATCCGGCCGCAGCTAGGGGCTAGCAGGGGCAGCCCTGGGAAAGCTAGCGCAAGCCAGGTGCGATTGCAACCCCCACCCCAACCTAAATGGCATGGCCATATCTAGCGAGTCAGTAGCTGGCGGCAGGTTGATGGTGGTCATGTTTGACCTGAATTGATATAAGCGACTGCGACAAAGAAAATACATACGTGGCGAAAAAAATCGGAGAGAGAAGGAAACAACTTGCTATTGAATGTGGAAAGTTAGTCCAAGGAACACTAGAACTTGTGTCTAGATTCTTTTGGCACGTACGGATCACTTTATGCTCTCAGATATTCTTGTTACAGCGAATAGTGTTGTGAAATGTGTGATGACCATCTTTGCACTTATCTAAAAGATGTAAAGCTTTCATGGTATATAGAAAATTTGGATGCATGTTACTGCCTCGGTCCACAAAAGAATGCAAGTTTGTGATATTTTCAAGTCAAACTAGTTTAACCTTGACCGAGTTTATACTTTTTTGAGCAAAGACCGAGTTTATACTTGATAGGATTGCAATCGGCAGTGTTGAGTCGGGCAACACTACCGATTCAGTACTTGAGCCGACAGTGCTATGTCAATCATCACTGCCAGTGTTTGGTGAAGCCGCGATGATCTCTTTTTTGCATTTTGTTATTTTATAATTTATTTTATATTTTTGTGTGGTACTCTATATTTGCTATGTAGACTAGATTCACATAGATCACAAATCCATCAAGATTTATATTACAAATGTTACGGTTACATTGAAAAAGTATTTATCAAAGACAAAGACACTATCACAAATCTATCTAAATCCCTATTACAATAGTCTCTCGAGGTCCTCTTTACCATATGATACCTTGAACTTCTTGGGCCGTGCCATGAAGAATAGCCCCTTTATGCCTGAGCCTGGGAGAGAATTAACTCCGGTTCGAACCTTTTGCGCGAAGCGAGGACGAAAGCGCAAGAAAGTTAATTAGCAGGTGTGGTCCATTCAACATGTAGAGTGGATTTTAGCCGTCTTCCCGGGCTAGCGCGATACGGAGTCTGATTCCAAGATGTACTGGGTTGTGTATATGATCCAGACTCATGAGCTATGCTTATATAAGTTAGAACAACTCACGTTTAAAGATGATTAAGTTGAGTGTGAGCCAATGGCGGTAGCTTAACTTGGTCCGGGTAATTGGAGGGTCGCCAGAGGCCAGATCCGGCGGCAGCTAGGGGCTAGCAGGCGCAGCTGGGGGCAGCCCTGGGAAAGCTAGCGCAAGCCAGGTGCGATTGCAACCCCCACCCCAACCTAAATGGCATGGCCATATCTAGCGAGTCAGTAGCTGGCGGCAGGTTGATGGTGGTCATGTTTGACCTGAATTGATATAAGCGACTACGACAAAGAAAATACATACATGACGAAAAAAATCGGAGAGAGAAGGAAACAACTTGCTATTGAATGTGGAAGGTTAGTTGGAGAAGAATTTCAGCAATTTCTTATCTATAACTCGATGAGTGTGAAAACTGTCTCTGCTTGTGCCACTGACAATACAATAAATTGTTCTCCCGTTGCAACGCACGGGTATATTTGCTAGTAAACACTAATGTCTAAAGCATCCAGTTATTACTACTTCTGTAATAATTAATAACTGATAAACATATATACTACTTTTTGGAGTGATGAATTCAGAAATAAATTAAATAATTCGTGTGTTTAATTTAACTGTGTGTGTAGAGGTGGGCGTTCTATAAGTTGGCCGAGAGCTACTACTCCATCCCAATGAAGAAGCACGGCATGGTGCCTGACCACAGCCTGTTCCATGCGCTGGCTGCGGCCTTCATCTGCGTTTCACCCAAGGACCACTACAAGAGGCTGGAAGAAGGCAGCATCATGCTCAAGAAGTCCAAGACATTCAGCTTATGCAAGGAAGGCGTGCTCGTGGAGGGCGAGCCGTCGCCGGTCAAGAGCGACGTGGTGATCTTCGGCACCGGGTTCAAGGGCGACGAGAAGATCAAGGACATGTTCACTTCAGAGTACTTCCGGAGTGTCGCGATTGGGTCAGAATCCACTACTGTGCCTCTCTACAGGTATATTTGTATATATATGTTTCTCACCATTTGTCCTAATTTGAACTCTCGATCTTGGTCATCATTTATGAGTCGTGCTAAATTTTCAAACATGCATGTTTCACAAACAGAGAGTGCATAAATCCTGCATAAAGATACCTCAGCTCGCCGTGATCGGATATTCTGACACCCATTCGAACATCTACGCCTCCGACATTCGCGCCAAGTGGTTGGCACGCTTCTTGGACGGCAGCTTCAGACTACCGAACGTCGCGGCAATGCAGAAGGATGTGCTCGAATGGGAGAAGTACATGAAGAGATACTGTGGAAGATACTTCCGCCGGTCCAGCATCATGATCCTGAACACTTGGTACAACGACCAGCTCTGTCGTGACATGGGGTGCAATCCTTGGAGGAAGAAAGGGTTCTTTTCGGAACTGTTTGAGGTCTATGGCCCTGGTGATTATGCTAACCTACTCTCCAACTCCAAGTCCAAGGAACACTAGAACTTGTGTCTAGATTCCTTTGGCACGTACGAATAACTTTATGATCTCAGATATTCTTGTTACAGCGAATAGTGTTGTGAAATGTGTGATGACCATCTTTGCACTTATCTAAAAGATGTAAAGCTTTCATGGTATATAGAAAATTTGGATGCATGTTACTGCCTCGGTCCACAAAAGAATGCAAGTTTGTGATATTTCCAAGTCAAACTAGTTTAACCTTGACCGAGTTTATACTTTTTTGAGCAAAGACCGAGTTTATACTTGATAGGATTGCAACCGGCAGTGTTGAGTCTGGCAACACTACCGATTCAGTACTTGAGCCGGCAGTGCTATGTCAATCATCACTGCCAGTGTTTGGTGAACCGGCGATGATCTCTTTTTTGCATTTTGTTATTTTATAATTTATTTTATATTTTTGTGTGGTACTCTATATTTGCTATGTAGACTAGATTCACATAGATCACAAATCCATCAAGATTTATGTTACAAATGTTACGGTTACATTGAAAAAGTATTTATCAAAGACGAAGACACTATCACCAATCTATCTAAATCCCTATTACAATAGTCTCTCGAGGTCCTCTTTACCATATGATACCTTGAACTTCTTGGGCCGTGCCATGAAGAATAGCCCCTTTTTGCCTGAGCCTGGGAGAGAATTAACTCTGGTTCAAACCTTTTGTGTGAAGCGAGGACAAAAGCGCAAGAGAGTTAATCAGCAGGTGTGGTCCATTCAACGTGTAGAGTGGATCTTAGCCGTCTTCCCGGGCTGAGGCGTTACAATAGTGAACTCTGTCGACCTTCCTTGGAAGTGGATCAATAGATTAGCTACCTCGGGCGAAAGGGTAAATCACGACTCACAGTGAAAGTGTACAACCTCTGCAGAGTGTAAAACTGGTGTATCAGCTGTGCTCACGGTCACGAGCGGCATTGGAACATTTAGGGAATAGATGATGAACATTGATGATACTGATGATAAAGATGCTCACTAATGATTGTTGTTTATGCTATTCATTATTCATGTTTACCTGATCATATGTTTAGATGGGCTGGTGATAAACTTGTTGCTACTCAATTGCTAAAATTGTCACAATTAAAAGTTAATCACAGTTAAACCAGTGTCAGCCTTTTGAGCCTCATGAACCCCATGTTATATTTGTTGAGTACGACATGTACTTACACTTGCTTTATTTTCAATTATTTGGATAAAAATCCTATATGAGTACCAGATTGCTAGAGTTTGGAGAAATTAGGCTTGTGATCAACCAGTCAGTTGTCCCTGTGAAATTGATGTCTTCATCCGAAGATCGGAGTTGTCATTCCACTGTTTGCTATCTAAGGTTGTATTCTTTATACTAAGTACGTTATATATTGAGCATTGTCTATTGATATTACCCTTATTTGTAGCTATATGTGAGATTTGACTTCCTGGTGTCACATATGGTGTGTATCTGGTTTTGTTCTTAAAATCGAGTGCTACAAAGTGGTATCAGAGTAATGCTGACTGTAGGACGCAAGCCTAGTTAGAACTGGACGTTCTAGTATGCTTTCATCTGTGCTTACTTCTTGTTTCCCCCCTAACCTTGCTAATTGCTAAAAGTTATGCTTACTTCGGCCTCTGTTCTGTTATGAAAACTTTGTCTCTATTCTGAATCATATCTCTTCATCTAAATAGATGTGTCATAAGGAGGAGACCACCAACATCAAAGGTCAGGAGGACCAGGCTACGTCGTCCTTGATTGCGTTCGACAAGGATAAGCTTTTAGTTATGCAGCAACAAGTATTAGAAGGAATGACTCAACATGGGAGTTCTCAACAGTGCTTGCTACAGGGTCAAACCAACATACCAAAGGCACCAATGAAGAGATAAGTGGCAGAAGCTTTGAAGAAAATAAAGTCCAATGAAGGTGCTGGTAGTAATACGCTCGGAGGTCAGTATCAATGTCAATGCTGCAAGCATTATGGTTTTCCCTATCTTCAGAGCAAGTCCAATAAGAGGGAAGCCAAGGTGAATCCGAGTTGTGAAGCTACTGTGGATAAGAAGAGGAAGGCAGTCAATTAGAAAGCAATCAACATTCGAGTTCTACTACATTGCCACATCAAGCTCTAATCCCTAGTGTTAACACTGGATTTTGGTCAATTCTGGAAGATGACAGGTGGACCCACATGCAGGAAGAAGAGTGTTCGGCAAATAACGCAAGCGGTCGGCTAAATGCTTGTGCGGTCGGTTATTCTGGAAGGCGATAACTCCATTCGGGAAAGCAGAAGATGGCAAGCAAAGCTGATCGAGAAGATGAAAGTTGTAATAATAAAGGACTCTGAGAGTTTGGGGCAAGGAATCGTAGTTTCCAAGTTTATTTAAAGAGTTCCTTTGTAAATCGTAGTCTTTTAGGACTCGTGTTTCGTCTAGGGTATAAATATTGACCTCGACCATTGTAATAGGCGTTCACAACCAAATCAATACAACCGCCCCGTGCCAACTTTCGAGTCCTTTTGTCGTGTCGTCGAAGTTCTTCGAGAGGAGTCATCGATCCGTCGACCTCCGTAAGTTCCGACAACCTTGTTATCATGTTTAGTATCATGCGGTGGATTTAAACGTGATGCAAGTAGTCTTGTTTGTTTTCAATGATCGTATGGCGGATCTTTTGCTTGACAATCAAGAAGTCTTCGCTTATACTTTGTTTATGAGTAGATACCGCGCGGCAAAGCGTTTGCTCAATATGCTTAGTGGAAGCAAGGCAGTTTATCGGCTCTATTAGATTTACGGCAAAATCTAAATAGATTCATCAAGTTATCCGTGTTGCATGTTTTAAATATTTTATATATTTGTAACACACTTTTGCCCAATCTAGATTGATATTGTTCGCCCTCTTCTATGGTTTTATTCGAGCTTCAATAATCATTACTTTCATAATACCTTTGCAAATAGATAACATGCTCGTAATGGCCAAATTATTTTAATCTAGATTGTCACATGTTGTGGGTTCATGTATGTTAATCACGTTTAAGTTTTTGATTTAAACTAGGTGTCGTCGTCTGCGTGATTTGAGTTTTAGATTGGCTTAATCATGTTTATCTATACGTTCCTTCTTCATGGACCCCAACTCTTTGGATTGTCGAGCTTGGATATGCATTAACGCATAATCAATTTCACTTGTTCAAACATGTCTTTCCATGCATATGCATTCGGCAATCAGATCTTTACGTATGTCTATCTTACGATTAGTCAATGATTTATAAACTTGTTGGCGCATGCCTTCCTATAGTCGTATGTCGCTGTAAGTGGCTTCGAGGGTCAGATATACTGAATCGTCTGGTCTCACCCGACATGTTCCGGTTTGACATTTAACTGTTTTATCCCTTGTCAGTTTCTTTCAGGTCAAACTGACTGGCACGTTCCGGATCACGAAGCACCCGGGCATCCGATTGAAGCTACGCTTTTCGGCTTGCTGTGTGTGTGGCACAGTGCGTCACATTTTGTGTCAACACACTTTTTGGCACGCCCGGTGGGACAATCTGCTAGTTCAAGATGGCATCTGAGATCAACAATGATCATGTTCTGGATGTAAGCATGGCAGAATTGCTCCGATAATTACAAGGATTTAGTGCTACAAGCGTGTGAGCAATACCAACGGAAGTGCTTGATGTCTTTTTCCAAAAACAAGAGCAATAAAGTATTTCAAAAGCAGTCAATGCCAAGGGTTCTTCTTCCGCATCAAACTGATTACACTGAAGAGGAGGATGCTCGGAAGATGGCAGCCACGGTTTATAAAGCTATGGGAGAAACCATGACAAACCATCACACGCTTTTTCGAATACCTTTCGGGCAATCATGATCAAGACTTTTGGCCCAATGGTTGATAAATACTTGAGGAAAATGTTGGACCACTTAGTGGGCCGATGCTTTTCAATGTTCCAAAGCATCAAGAGAAGCCTGTTGGAAAGGAAGTAGCGCCGCCTTCAAATATAGGTGGATTGAATCACAATCGAAAAGCAATCACATCCCACTTATGGCCGATGACATTTGGTACCACAGAGAAGTGCCACTTTCACTTATAGAGTTTCTCGGCATCAAATAGATTCTGTAAGAATATGTATGGAGATGGATATCAAGAATTTATCGATTACAATCTTTGTCAATGTTGTGCCAAACCTGTGGTATAGAAGTGTTTGAGTGATTGCCTTTCGGAGTGCAAGTACAAGGAAACCAGGATCCGTGTATTGATGTTTTGATGCATGCAGGATGGCTGATATGATGCAGAATCAGTTCGCTTGAAGCCAAAGAATCAATCCTATTCATACAAATCTCCTTATCCGTAATGGTACAACAGAGTGGCATTGCCTCCAAGGGTGAAGCCTCCAACAGATTTGACCAAGTTTTCTCGGTCAAGATGATACTAGTACCATAGAGCACATCATCGGGGTACTTAATGTTTTGGAGAAGCCGCTTCAGATGAAGCATGGAGGATTCGATATTTTCCTTTGTCTCTTACAGACCGGCTTTCACATGGTTCACGTCTCTACCGGCTCATTCCATTGGTACGTGGGGAGTAACTAGAGCGTAAGTTTCATTCATATTTCTATACGGGTACCAATGAGAAGAAATTGGTTGATCTCATGAGTCTGAGGATGAGAACAAATGAAACACCATTGGAGTATCTTCGCAGATTTAGGGAGACCAAGAATATGTGTTATTCTCTAAATTTACCAGATGATCAACTACCTGGAATTGCTATAGTAGGAATGTTGCCAAATATCAGGGAGAAGTTGTTCGGTTTAGAGTTTGATGATCTTGGTCAACTTGCACAGCGCCGCTTAGCGACTATGAGTAATCAAGCCCAAGGGTTCAGGAGAGATAATCGCTTTCGTAAGAACAATGCCACTAATGAGGTGTATCGAGGGGCTTTACGGATGAAGCGATCGAGTATATTGATGAAGATGAGATAAATGCAAATGAAAGTTAAATTGGGACAAGGAACCCACTCAAGTTAGTCAACGCT